ACAAAGAGACTGAATGGAGGTCAATATAATCACTACTTCTGGACCACCATTACTAGGAGGTAGAGGAGAATATCATGGCAAGAGATACCCTAATGGTGGGGAGGAACTGATCACGTTTGAAAAACTAAAAGATGGCCAGTGCAGTAGGGAGAAGAAGGTAAAGTTAGGAAGCAGGCTTGAGCAAGCCCACAAAGGGCCTTATAGTCTGCATGAGGAATTGGAGACAATCTCTTAGAGTAATGGAAGCCACTGTTAGATGTAAGTAGGGCACTGTTCTAATCAGATTTTATCCAGGTCACTTTGACTCCAAGGTAGAGAACAAATCAGGTACATGGCTGGGAAGAACTCTGAGTGGCAGTCTGGTGGGAAGCAATGAATTCCACAGCTTTTCAGCAAGTGAAATATGGGCTAGCCATATGATCTCAGGAATCACATTCCAGAGATGCTCGCTAGAATGTTTACCTGGATGCCTAGAGAGAGGGCATAGTGAGAGAGGAGAAGGAACCTTCTGCCAAAGAACTTTCACACTTAAAGACTCAGTGTAGGAGGATGGGGCTGCAAAGGAGACCAGCCCTTGGGGGAGAAGCCAAGCCCAGAATTGGGGGTACAGAAGCCAAGGAAAGGAAGTGGACTATACAGTGAAATCTTACTGAGTTATCAACAAAGTGGAGAGACAAAAAAAGACGCTGGCTGTAGGATGGGTTAATTAGTGATATTAGAGTGTTTTTTCAATGTCATTATTGAGGGTGACATAAGTTGTAATGAGTGAGAAATATTAAAAAGTGGTTATTGGCAATTTTTAAAATTAGGTTTATTCGTACAGTTTAGGTGTACATAATGGTCACAATCATCATCAGGAATTTGTACCTGTACGTGATACAACTTAGTTCCTTTTTTCCCATTCCCCTCCCCTCTCTTCAACCCTCTTCTCCTCCTTATTTACAATGCCATTACTTATCAAACTTTTTAATGAAATTGAAAGAGAAACAATATTCCCAAAGTTGTTCCTGGAAGCAAGTATTACCCTTACACCAAAACCAGAGAAGGACCCAACCAAGAAAGTGAACTACAGGCCAATCTCCCTAATGAACACAGAGGCAAAAATCCTCAGTAAAATACTGGCAAACAGAATGCAGCAAATCATCAAGAAGAGTATACACCATGACTAAGTAGGATTCATCCCAGGGATGCAGGGATGGTTCAATATATGCAAATCAATAAATGTAGTGTACCATATTAACAGAACCAAGGACAAAAACCTATAATCATCTCACTAGATGCAGAAAAAGTATTTGACAAAGTATCCATTCACAATAAAAACCCTACAGAAAATTGGAATACATGGTCTTTATCTCAATCTGATAAAAGCCATTTATGACAAATTAGTAGTCAACATCAAACTAAATGGTCAAAACCTGAAAACTTTCTCTCTAAAATCTAGAACAAGACAAGGATGTATACTATCACTACTCTTATTCAGTATAGTTCTGGAAACATTAGCTAGAGCAATTAGACAAGAGAAATAAAGGGAATAAAGATAGCAAAGGAAGTTAAATTATCATTATTTGCAGATGACAAGATACACTACATGGAAGACCCCAAAAACTCAACCAAAAGACCTCTAGATTAAATAATCAAATTAGTTGCATACCTGAATACAAAATCAACACCCAAAAATTAATAGCCTTCCTTTACACAAATAACAAACTCACTGAGAGAGAAATAAGGAAAACAAAACCTTCAAAAAAACAACAAAAAAAAAGTGAAGTACTTAGAAATCAATCTAACAAAGGTAGTAAAAGATCTCTACACTGAAAACTACCATACTCTGAAAAAGATTGAAGATGATACCAGAAAATGGAAGGATATCCCTTGTTCTTTGGTAGGAAGAACCAACATAATAAAAATGGCCATACTCCCAAAACTGTTATACACATTCAATGCAGTCCCAATCAAAATACCATTAGCATGCCTCACAGAACTGGAGAAAACACTCCTAAAATTCATTTCCAATTAGAAGAGACCTAGAATAGCAAAAGTGATTCTGAGCAACAAAGGCAAAACAGGGATCATCACAATCCATGACTTGAAATTATACTACAGAGCTACTGCAATAAAAACAGCACGGCACTAGCAATTTTTAAAAGTAGTTTGACTGTGAGAAGATTTGCCTATTTATAATGTAGTGATTTTATTAAATACATAAATATTATGAATGTCAGTTATTCAAGGAATTGTGGGGATATTATCCTCTAAACCCTCTTGAAATTAAAAGAATAGAGCCATGAATATGTTACATAAGCCAGGCTTCTTGCCACCCAAGCATTTTAAATGAGTTGTCTTAGTTGCTTTCTTTCTGCTGACCCACAGTACCCAACGTTCCCAACCTGAGGAGGAGAGGTTTATTTTGGCTCATGGATTTCAGTGGTCTTAGTGTAGGGCTGGCTGGAGCCAAGGCATGGGGGGCATGGAGGGAAGCTGCTCACATCATGGCATTCAGGAAAGCAGAGAGAAAAAGGAGGAACTGGGGAGGGAGATGAACCCTTCGAGGTCCCACCCCAGTGACCCACCCTTCCATCTAGACCCCACCTCCCAACAGCACACTTAACTGCAGCACCCCAGGATTCAGTCACTTCCCAAAGTCTCCATCTATGAACAAAGGAGGCCTCTGGGTAACATTCTGTATTTAAACCATGACACAGGTAAATATATACTGGGCAGCCTATTTTGTTCAATATAGAAAATGCTGTTTCTCTGTATGTTCAAAAGATTTTATATTTCAGAAACTCAGAGTTTGAGGAGTATAAAATAACTGTCCCAGCCAAGAAAGTATATGAAAAATACTTTATTTTTCATATACTTTGTACAAGAATAAATAAATGTGTACAAGAATAAATAAATGTGTCTTTAAATTAAGAGTAGTTCATAGGTAATTAAATATTTATTAGCTTGTGATTAATTATATCTGGATCTTGCCTGTATATCCTCTCACTCTTACTTTTAAAGTGGTTCAATAAACTTTATTCCTTTGTTCTTAGGGGTCAAAAACAAAAACAGAAATCACCTATGATCCTAATCTGATGTGTGAAATCCTAAAACATTCCAGGCCATATCTTTATTTTAGCTGAAATGATTGACAAGTGCTTAACCTTTGAATGAGGAGACTCTCAGTTTAGTCTCCAGTATTTCCTTATGTACTGGTTTTTCATATTTGCTCTCTCACAATGATTCCCTATTAGCAGCTAACTTTAGAAACGAGTAACTTCTTAATAGTCAGAAGTGTTATAGAGAGGAAAAGAAAAGCAAGAGAAACTAGAGTGGCTTCAGCTTTTCACATTGGAACCTCTGGCAACTTTGGTGGTCTTGCAATATTGTAGAAGAGTCTTCTGGTTGGACAATGAGCGGCATTTGTGCATTTGCCCGTGACCCCTCCCCTTTATGCACTGCCAGTCTCCAGTGTCATCATTAATTAGGCTTCAGGTCTCCCGTTTGTCTGCTTAGAAAACAACTCAGATAAGCCAAGTTAATAAATTGGTGCAGCTGAGCTGCCTGGCCCCTGGAACATGCGACTATGTGGAGACAGTCAGAGGGCAGCCCTCTCCTTTGATCGTGTAGAGAAGTTTAATTCCAAAGGCCACGTGGGAGTCCCAGTTTGTAAGGCTGCAGGAAGGACCTGTGAGCACAGCAGTGGAGCTGCTGTCATTTGTCCTGGTTTCAGTTTCTAATTTCAAAACCAGGAGGCTCAGAGGCCTGGGGGAATAGTTGCACACTTTGCTTCATTTTTCTCTAGGAGTTGGCCTGCATTCTTCCACAAATTCTTACAATGGGTGGTGGAAATTCAACAAAGGAATAAAAAATCATTATCCTCTTGTTCTATACAGATTTGCATTATGGTAGAGTTCTGTAAATATAGTCCATAGCGTATGTAGCGCATGATCCCTAGACATGACTCGCTGTCCCAACGCTGACGTCTTTCCCAACCAATTTTACTAAATCATAAAAATGACAAGTAATATTTATGAGCTTCCCTGCAGTGCCAGGCATTCTGCAAACCATTTTACATACATTACCTCATTTAATTATCATGTCATGCCTATGGTGGAGAGTAGGTTCCATTTTTCAAATGAGAGAAAAATCCACACCCCACTTGAAGCCAGATAGATCTTGATGCAAGCATAAAACCTTTACCCCCTCATGTGATGGCCCCATCAAACTTGAACAGTTTGGTGGACATGGAGTCGATCACCAAATCCAGAAAAAATGGAGGTCTGCAATGATCGACCCCTTTAATTCAGGCAAGAGCGGAAGGTCTACTTTGGAACTTGTGGAAGCAAGTTTTGCCTTCAGCTTTGCTTTGGCCAGGGAGAAATAACTTTGAAGGAATTATTGTCATGGCTTCAATTGTATTCTATTACCAAATTGTAAGAATGCCTCATATTATCTGTTTTCATGAAAAATTGTTCTGTAAAAATAGAATTGTTGGAATTTAAATGTTTTCAAAAGTTAAAGAATCTAAACTTCTAACAGTTGATGAGAAATCCTCTCTCTTTTCCCACCCTGTGCTTAGTTCTAGTGCTGTGGTGTGCACGTTAGCCTGAGGAATCTCTAATTTGGTGGTTGTGGGTAACTTGCATGTCTGTGAATTTTGGCAAAATCTGTTCCAATTTGTACTATTAGAGAATGACTAGAAAAAGGGCTAGGGCCCTTAATGGCTTGGGACTAGTCCTTAAATAGTTTTTGCCTCTCTTCATTTTGAGGGACTTGAAAAGCAAAATGTTTTATCTGTCCCAGATCAGAGTTGTTTGTCCATCTCTTAGAGGAAAATTGAAGATGATGTATTTCCCTTTAGAATGAACTAATTGCTTCCCTCTGGAGTTTGGATAAACGGAATGACCGGAGTCTGCATGATTGATACCCAAGGGTAGAACACAGCCTGGCCCACAGCAGGAGCTCAGCAAATATGTTCTTGAATGAGTCTAATTCTGAGCTTCTCTTCACAGCAAGTGAAAAACAGATGATGGTGGTGTGCAAGGAGTCCCCGAAGGAATACCTCCAGCCTTTCAAGGACAAGCTAGAGGAGTTCTTCCAGAAAGGTAGGAGACTTTCCAGCCAAGCACCCTTGATGTGGTGGCACATCTTTCTCTGAGGCCCGTTGCCTCTTGCATCCAGGCTGACCTCCCCACAGTGGTTACGTCCTCAGTGTAGATGGGATTGCCTATAGATTTTATGTCATCTCTTAAGTACATTTTATTATCTTCAACCCTTTAATGTTCTTCCTGGTTTTGTGTAATTTTTAAGGGCAAGCTTTTTGTCTCTTCCTGGAGCTCAAGGGGATTCTCGGTAGATGTTAAGTGACAGACAGTGTGTGTACAAAGCTTACCCAGTAATGCATCTCAGATTTGGGGTCAGCTTGACAGGCGATTTCTTTTTGATTTTATGAGTATACCATCTTGAGATCAGAGGAGGATACCAGTGTCGTGTGCTATGTAATGGTTGTTAGGTGGCTTTTGTGTAGGATTTATCAAAGTAGTAAATGCATTGATCTATAATTTTTACCATGTAAATATAACCTAAGTGGCCTAGAGAAAAACATGAAATATGTATCCTTGCTAACTCCAATTCATAGTGTCTTTTGACATATGTAGAATTAACTTGAAATGAAGTTTATGTGTACCTTCATTCCATTTTTATTTTTACTTACTATAACTCTGTAAGTAGAAAAATCTCTAATCTACATTTTGGGGCTGTTACTTACCTGTATGCTATCATGTACTTAGAGTCTTTCCTCTCCAAACCAGCTAGCATCTTCAAAAACACTGGTGTTGTGAATATCGTTATTTTGTTGAAAAGGAAGAAATACAAATAGATCTAGAATATTAGAATCTTTTTTGATACCTTGGAAAAGGAAGTTACATCTACTAGGTTTCATAAATACTCCTTATCAAGGAAGCGAGGGCTGTTCTGAGAAAGCCCTGAAGCAATGGTTCTCTATTCTTCTGTAAACTAGAATCACCAAGAATGATTACAAACATCTCGATACCCCGAACGAACTCTAGACCCACTATCAGCGTTCCTAGGAGTGGAACCAGGCATCAGAGTATTTTTGTTCCCCAAGTGATTCCAATGTGGATCCCAAATTGAAAAGCGCCATTGTCACTTCTTAATGTGTATTCAAGGATATATGTTCACAGCCTGCTGTATGTAAGGCCCTGAGATACTATAATGAATAATATTCTTTGCTCCTTTCCCGAGGACTGTCTTACTGGGAAAAGGTGTAGCTGAGTATAATCAGCTTCCCCAAGCCAAGAGAGTGAAGAGAAAGTGGAAGGACAGTAAGAGTAACATCAAACTATAGTCAAAACAAAAGTCAACTGAAACAAGACAGAAAAAGAATGTTTTAAAAATTACCATTCTGTTTGAAAACTTAAGGATATAAAAGCATGTATAATATTATAGGACCCTAAATGCTCCGAGTACTTGGGAGTGGAAAGTCCACTTTGAAAGTAGCCTTTTCCTATTACTATTACAGAACTGAATGTGGGACGAGAACAGTCGGGAATTATATGTTCTGAGAAGGCAGACAATGGCCACGTGGAGCTGCTGAGCACCTGAGATGTGGCCAGTTCAAAGTTCATGTATATAAAATCATGTAAACATTTCCTGTCCAGTCTTCCATAGTGATTATATGGTAAAGTGATAATATTTTGCGTATAGTAAGTTACACAAATAAAATATATAATTAATATAAATTTATGTTTATTTTATTTAAGTGCAGCTGCTACAAATTTTCAAATCTATTCATGGCTGCTATTCGTTTCTACCAGAGGCAACCCCTAGACCTTTCTCATTCCATTCTTTCACTTCTTTCTTTGCATTATTGCCTGGCTTCCTCTGCATGGTTTATCATAGTGCAGAGTTTCATGAAGTAGCCCCATGCCCATTTTTATGCTAGGTCTGGCCATTGTTTGGTCACCAGTTAGGGCTGGTTAGGGGACAGCATGCCACAGCGTATGGTTGAGGAAGTAGCCCTGTGGTCAATAAACATGTTTTAACTAACAATATATATGGTTTAGGGATAAGGACATATAAATGAAACATCTCTTTGCTGTTTTTCAGAGTCCCAGATAGTAGTTCCTTTTTAATTTAGAATTTTCCACTGATTTGTGGAAAATGTAGAATTCTTTGCCCACCACAAGCATGTGTTATTTTTCTGAATAATCAAATTTTTCGGGCAGTTGTCATATAGGTAAGTGCAGTATTTCATCTAATGTTCCATTCATTATAAAATACATCATAATAGCCAGCACTATTAAGGAAGAAGACTGCTGCCAGTTAAACTGTGATGTGCATTATAAGATGCATCCCACCCTTAGAAATGGTGAAATATGGATTTTCCATCAATTTGGAGTTGCACAACATAGGACTATAGTTAGGGGTATGGGGTCAGAGCAGAAGAACGCTTGACACTTATGGGCTAAGTTGGGAAAGACTTGCAGCAAAGGAGATGTTGCTGTGCAGACTTGTAAAAGAAGAGAGGTGACAGCAACAACAGTGGCAACAGTAAATGCCATGCAGAGAGATTGTGTATGCTGCATCATACGCAGAGTGAACCACGTTCAGTCCTCTGACTGTCCTCTGAAGTAAGCCTTACTCCCAGTCTTTTGTGTGGATGAGGAAGATGAGGATGAGGAATTCTCATCAGACAGGTGACAAAGAACATTCCAGGCAGAGAAAGATGCTACAAACCTCAGAGTGGCAAGAGACTTGGTGCGGCCAAGTCCCAGGGCTTGTGACAAAAACTCAAGACCAGAAGGGAAGGGCGACTCACAATGTGACTTGGCAAAGAAGCTGAACTTCATATTGTGGACAACAGATAATACTGAAAAATAGTATGTACAGGAGTCACGCGCTCATGTCGGGTGTTTTGGTGTATGGTGTTTTCCCCCCGGTGGTCACTTTGCTTTTCATTGTTAAGAAATGTGTTGCAACTAACAGCAATTTTAAAATGTTGGAAGAGTGAGAAACTATTAAGGAGCTTAAGCATCAGCAATGGTGGTAAAAATAAGAAAGAAAGGGACATAGTTAACAGTCTGTGAGGAGGATTGTAACTTACTAGATAAAATGGAGAAAACAATAACTCCTTTTTTGCTTGGATAACTGGATGGATGTGGATGAGGAAGATCAGATTTGGGAAGGAAGAAAATAAGGTGCAGTATAGATATGTCATCTTTTACATCCGTGTGAGAGATGCCGGTCAAGACGACGTGCTTATGGGGCAGAGCTGGGTGAAGCACAGAAGTTGCTGCTCAAGTCATAGGAATACGTGACATGGCCCACAGAAAGAGTGTGGAATAAGACAGTTCTTGAAGTATTACAGTATCCGAGTGTGGGGTATCAAATTAGAACAGTTACTGAGAAAAGATGCTTCTATACTTCTAGAGTAGAGCTTATATAAATTATTTGGCAAAAGAACCAGTTTTTTATTAGGCGTCTTCTCATTCAAAAAGTATTAAGCAATTGCATTCTTTATGCCTGGGAAGTCATATGCTTTGTGTTCAGCTGATTCATAATTAAAATTATTTTTACTTATGCTGCAATTCAGCTCTTCTAACAATCATGTTGATTTAATTTTTCATTTGTAAATCATATCCTGTTGTCATATGCAAGTGGAGATGATATGTTTGTCCTTATTGGCTTTTATCATACTTTCCTTCTCAAAATATCCTTAGTGTCGACGACTCAATTGTATTTATACTTAACTAATTTCATTTCCGGAACTAACTGAAAGTAATTTTAATGGTACCACTTTTCAGGGTAGCAATCCCCATGGTATCTAAACCTTTACTTTTTCCCTTTTTCTTTTCTACAGTGGGCTCTTGTTGCTTCCAATTTACAACTCAGTTCAGCGTAATCTTGTACAGGCACCTTCTTGTTTTAGCTCATACTTTCCCACCCTCAGATCAAACATGGTCATAATGATATAGCCTTCAAAAATGTGATGCTCGCATTAAAAGTCCCCATAAACGTGGCAGGGATCCTATAATTGAAAAAAGGCGCATGGCAGCTGATTAGATCCCAGGTATAGATCTTGTAGGTGGTCTTTTCATGCTGTTAACTTGGTCATTTGTATTTATAGCTTTGGCAGGGAGGGCTGGAACCTAAACTAGCTGTAAGACCAGCACTCTCCCATGGTCTTACACGTGGTCTTATCTAATTTTCCATTAATTTACCCGGTATCCATGAATAGTGCCAAATTCAAAATGAATCTGTATGAACCATTCTCGTCCTATTTTCTCAAAGTGTTTCCTAAATTTCTGTGATTAGCTGAGATTACAGGTGTTCTTAGTGTCAGAAAAACTGTTTTCTCATAGAAAATATAGAAGTTTACCAAGCTAAAAGCAAATACATCTGACGTCCCACACTGAATGCAAATATAATTGTGGTTTTCAGTGACTCCGTACTCTACGACATCCAGGCTCTTTCTGCCTGGCTCTATTCGCTTTGTTCCTCCCACATCATATAGACTCAGCCTGGCTCATGAGAGATGAATGGTGATTTGTTCCATGAATGAACAAAGAATCTGAATAATGTAAAGTACCTGGAGACTATTTATTTGTCTTCCATGGGCTTTCTGTTTAAATCTCTTCAAATTGGTAAATCATGCTAGAGGCCGGTGAGGTGCGTTTTTGGTCTATAATGCATGTCTGAGATCAGGGCTCCCAGATGTGATAGCATCTTCCTGTGTTGAGTACAGGCATGTATTCCATTCTTCATCTGTAGTCCTTGCCATGTAGTTTTGTATGTAATCCATTCTTAATAAACACTTAGGTCAGATTGGACTGGCAAGAGCCATGGCTGAACCTCTAAACTGCAGAATATTCACTTTGACTCTCAAAAAAGTTAGAAGCCAACTATTTGATTCACTCTATTCCACCGTTAAGGAGGAGGGTGCTGTGAGCACGAGGAAGAACGAGGGCTGGGGGCGTGCACTCAAGAGAGCCCCTGCAGAGGTGATGTCAGTGTCAACAAGTGGCCAAAATTAGGATGATCTGGTGTTGTGGGCCACTAAAATAACAGAGCAGAAGGTACAGTG